TACCGGGCGTCGCAGAAGGAGTCGGGCCTTCGGTGGGGTTGCCCGGGCTAGAACCACCGGCCGTTTGTGAAGGGGTTGGGGCAGGAGTGGGGGTTTCTGTTGGACTGCTCGGCGCGGAACCACCGGCCGCTTGTGAAGGGCTGGGGGCCTCTATCGGGGTGCTCGGAGGAGAACCACCGGCCGTTTGCGAGGGGGTGGGGGTTTCTGTGGGGTTGCTCGGAGCAGTCCCACCGGGCGGTCCTGGAGGAGTTGGACCCGACGTCGGTGCTCCTGTAGAAGTGCTCGGCGCAGAACCGCCGGCCGTTTGCGAAGGGGTTGGGGCTTCTGAGGGAGTGCTCGGCACAGTAACACCGGGCAGTTGGGAAGGGGTTAAGTTCGAAGTTGGAGCGGGCGTCGGAAGCTCGGTAGGTGGGTTCGGGTCGGAAGTGCCGGGGCTCCCCGTTGTAGAAACAGGTCCCCCGGAAGAGGAGGTCGGTGGGAGAGTGGGTGAGACAGCCTGAGTAGACTCAGTCGAAACAGGGGATCCGGACGGGCTTGCAGAAGGTTCAGTGGAAGGGTTTGGAGAGGTGCTTTGGGTCGGGTCTGGCGAAGGGGTTGAGTTTTGCGGTGCGTTGGATGCAGAGGGAGTCGGTGTTGAGGTCTCGGAAGGAGGGTTTGAGGTTGGGTTTGGTACGAGATTTTGGGTTGGCGAAGGCGTGGTTGACCCGGTGATTGCGCTTACTGACACCGTGCCCTGGGGGGGAGTTGAGACGGGTTTGGAAGCAGTTGGGGTCGGGGTTAAGGTGGGGGTCTCCGTCGGGTTTGGCGTGGTCGGCGAGGGAATTTGCGAGGGGTTAGGTGTTGCCAAAGGGGAGGTTTCGGACGGCGTCGGTGATGGGGTTGAGGTCGGGTTAGCTGGAGTTAGAGTCGGGGTTAGAGAAGGAGACGAGGAACCCGAAGTGGACGAGGGAACTGGTGAAGGGAGACCGGTCGAGACTGGGGGAGCAATCGGGGTTAACGTCGACGGGTTTGGCGTGATTATTGGGGGACTAGAGGAACTTTCAGGTAAGGAAGAAGAAGTGGGGTTTGAAGAAGAGGGCAACGGAGTTTCGGTTGACGGACTGGGAGGAGTTTCGGTCGGAAGAGGGATGGGTATATCTGTAGGTGAGGAGGAAGAAGTAGGATTTGGAGAAGAGGGCAACGGAGTTTCGGTAGGTGAACTGGAAGGAGTTTCAGTCGGAAGAGGGGTGGTAACATTTGTAACGGTTGGCGTTGGCAGCGGGTTGGAAAGCGCAGGAGCTAGGGAAGGCGTAAGGGGGGGGGTTAAGGAAGGAGTCGCTGTCGGAGAGACGGAGTCGGTCGGAGAGGGGGTTTCTGTTGCTGTTGGGTTAGGGGTTGAGGTCACTGCGGGCGTCGTTTCAGATGGCGAAGGCAACGGAGTCGCAATTGGAGTAGAAACGGGGGTAGTAGTTAGATTCGGTGTGTTGGAAGGACTGGGAGTGGATTCTGTGGGGCTCGGACCCAGGCTTACGGTTAGGTTAAGAGACAAACCTTCGGAGGGGGTCGGAGACGGAGTGTTGCTGGAAGTTGGCGTGGGGGTGGTTTCTGAAGGGGCGGGGGAGGGGATGAAAGTAATATTTGAAATGACGGTTGGAATGGGGGTTACGGTCAAGATTGGACCAGCAGAAGGAGGGAGTGTTGCGAAGTTGGTAGAGCTTGGAACAGTCTCCGAGGGGGTCGGCAAAGGCGTTCCGGTTGGCGGGACGGTTAACACCGGGGTTTCGGATGGGGTTGGAGAAGGGTTTACTTCTGCGGTCGGACCCGGGGTTTGGGAAGGGGTTGAGGTTGAGCTAGGAGTTTCTGACGGGGTAGGCGAGGGGGTTACAGTAGCAGTTGCAGTGGGAGTGGGGGAGGGTGTGGTTGTTTGAGTCGAGGTAGGGGTTGGGGTTTCTGAAGGGGTCGGGGAGGGAGAAGAGAAAGCAATTTCGGAGGGGGTTGGGGAGGGGGAAGAAGAAGCAGTTTCGGAAGGGGTTGGGGAGGGGGAAGAAGAAGCAGTTTCGGAAGGGGTTGGGGAAGGGGAAGAGAAAGCAGTTCCTGAGGGCGTTGGGGAGGGGGAAGAGAAAGCAGTTTCGGAGGGGGTTGGAGATGGCGTGTTTGCTGACGTCACGCTGGGGGTAGGAGTAGTTGTGGGAAGAGTGTCCGTCGGAAGGGGAAGCGAAGTTGGGTTTGGAGTGTCGCTTGGCGGGGAGGTCGGAGGCTGAGTTGGGGTGGCTGACGGGGTTAGAGTTGGGGTTGGGGACGGGGTTAAGGACGGGGTTAAAACTGGCGTTGAGCTTGGGGTTTCGGTTGGGTTAGTGCCAGCGGGTGCGGTTGGGCTAGGGGACGAGGTTACTGTAGCGGAAGGGTTAGGAGTCGGCGTCTCACTATCCGTGGAAGTTTGCGACGGGGCTGGGGTTTGGCCGAGAGTCGGGCTTGGAGAAGGGGTGTCGCTGGCCGGGGGGGTTTGGGTCGGGTTAGGAGGAGGGGTGTCAGTAACCAGGGGGCTTGGCGAAGGAGTTGGTGCCGAGGAGGGGGGGTCAGTGATACCAGTTGATGACGTGCCCGAGGGGGCTAGGGACTGAGTTGGGCTGTCGGAAGGGGGGGGCGTAGAATCGGACTGCAGGAGTTGCCGGACAGTCCGCTTGAGGTGTCCGAAGAGCCCCTGATCCTGATAAGACACGGGGAAGACACATGTCAGCCAGTCTGCGAGGGGGACCAACAGACCTTGAAAAAGCAGCAAGGATACAAATGGCTTCTGGATATGAGAGGACAGTGGCTCTTGCGAGGTAAAGAGCGAAACATAACCGCTGACTGTAATAGCAGCCTCGCTTGATGTACTTTTCAAATGGTTCTGACTGGTGAACGTGTGCTGTAAAAAATGGGCCCTTGACGTCCAAACCAAAGGCCTGCCTGAAATGATTGATTACACAAACTGCGACGATTGAAGGTTGACAAGGCGGCGTTTGCTGGTAAGCTCTCGTGCTCAATAATATTCCCGTCTTTGCTTGACCTCTCTCATCCAAGCACTTGTAAAGCACTCGCAGTAATATTGGGTGCTCGTATTCCGGAGAGATTGTCTTGGCATCTTCTACAGAGCCGCATTTTCAGCCAAAGAGAGGTTGGGATTGTCTGGTCAGCTCAAAAGTAAACGCAATATTCACATTTCTTCATTTTTTTCAGCCAGCTCGTTCCAGCTCGATTTGGTCCTTTAAAAGCAAATTCCAATCTGGTCCTGTGGCGATAGGTCAGCTCAGCACGCAGTTGAGATCTTCACAAAATCGTCTTGACTCTGAACTTTTGTCCTTAACATAAGGATCCAACAAATCTCCTGATGCGGATGCAGCTTAGCAACCACAGTCGACACAAAGCAACCCATCCAGAAAGGAAGTTCATTTGGTAATCCTTGGAAGGGTAATGCCCGCCATCTGGGGCTTGCTAATTAGGGATCCCAACGCTCAAGACCTCGTCAAAGGGACACATTCAAACTTAGCTGATAAAGCACTAACCAGCTACAAGACAGTAATCAATGCCGCTCCAGTCAAACATCTGGAGTTGAGCTATCAGCGAGGAAGGCCTGGCGGGCCTGGTGCAACTCAAACAAAAAAAGTGTTTTGCTTGCGCTCTTTGCTTATCAAAACTGTCTCCTTGGGTCACTGTTGGGCGCCCCCCAGGCTGGGCAACAGGAACTGACGCCCTTTACCAAAAAGCTGGCAAGATTATCGAAGCTTGCGGGATGAGAATCCTTAGCAGCAAACTAGCTGGCAAATGACAAATGAGCTTCCACTGAGCTGAAGTTCTTCACAAAGAGAGTGACTGAACAAAAGCAGTTCGCAAGTCCCAACACTCTTTCTTTGTGCAGCTCTTTGCGGGCTACATTTTCAAACTTCTTTCTGTTGGCCCTTCTTTGAGGGAGGCTGCATGCGTTGGTCCAGGAACCACAGCTATGACTTGAAGGAGCCCACATCAGGCAACAGTCGGTTGAACATGACGCCATAATACTGGCCAGAATCTGCCACTCCTGAGTGCCCACTGCCCGCCCAGCATGTTTACAGGGGATTCCTTATATTGCACCGCAGGCTAGGGCGAAACTTGCATTTGCACCAGCAGAAAGTACGGCCGGGCAGAAAGTGGGTCCGATGGGAAATAATGCAAGCACCTTTAGTCGGACTTACAAGGAGCACAACAATTCGTTATGTCCAAACTTGCGCACGACAAATGCCACATTCACTCCACAAAAGATTGCCCAGTAGAAGCTGTGATGGCATCACAGGGAGTGCCCACCTGGCCGGGCGCCCCCGATGATCCCCCCGGTTGTGAATAAGCTCCCGGACAGGCTGCCCCCTCTGCTCCACATGGTGCGGCGTGCCCATTCACACCAAGTACCACCGCCAGCACAAGGACCACTAGTAACAGCTCCCGCCAGCTTCTTCTCGGAAAAGACAAGCCCCCATTGCTTGCTCCAAGTAGGCCTATCCCTTTCAGGCCACGCTTAGAACCTTGCTTTGAGCTCTGGGCCACATGATTGGAGCTAGTCCAAGCTCTAATGCAGTCCTGCGTAGTGCGCCAATCGCCCGTCATGCGGTCCCCACTGCCCTGCCCGTTCTAAAAGCCTTCTCTTGTCAGTAAAGCTCAGCTCCACGCTCATTGGACTGACGCATCACTGTAAATCACTTTGAAGTCAGCTGAGAGAGAAAGATTGTAACGCCGAACTGTCTGTGAATGTTACTCTGCGATTGAGAATAACCTTTCACACAGCCTTCACTGATGCGCTGCAACTCGGTGGACTTCTTCAAAACAGCAGTCCAACCAATGACTCGATGCCACTCAAACCGCTTCAGTCAGAGCAGAGTTGTAAGTGACAGGATGGGATAGCTGTGGCACTCCTTGTTCCACCAGACTTATGACTTTTCCAGAACAGACGGTTGGAGCTCGGTGGCAGCTGCAAACGGCCCAACCGACCTGATGAATACCTAGGACTCTCTCTGTGCATTCCTCTTTGTATGGATCGCCGGCAACAATGCTGCTGACAGAGAAGAATGATGCAATCACTTCAAACCTTGCGCGCTGCCTCTTCCTCTCCCTCTCCCTCTGTTTCCGCCTCGAGCAGGCATGCATTTTCGCAAGCTGGCGCAGTCTTGGCCAGCAGGTCCGCAAGCCACTAGCCGTTGCGGTTGGCCGAATCAGCTAAGAGCCGTCGATACGTAAAAGCTGCAGGCTGGCTTCCGGTATCTTACGGTACAAAGCCAGCCACCTGTCTAGACCGTTCCGTGATTCAATGCGAACTTTTTGGACGGTAGAATTGCCGCATCCGACGGTGCATATGCATGCGCCACTAAGAGTCCTTTGTCAGAGTCCAGACCTGAGACGACCTCTTCGAAGTTCGAGAATCGAGATCAAGTTCGACCTAATAGTAATAGGCTTGGAAGTTGGAGTCCAACTTGAAGTTGGAGGCTTGGACCTTGCTACATTTGATGAGATAGTTACGGCCGCCATTGTTCTTGACACTCAACATGGCTGACACAGCCTCCCCAAGGGGTCCAGGAATGAATGCGCTTCCCCCAGAGCTCACGTTGCAGATAATCTGCCTGGCTGTGAAAGAGCGGAGACAGCGTTCTCGCACGCTGGCATCGTGCAAATTGGTCTCAAAGGAGTGGTGTGGTTATGCACGCCTGGCAAGCATAGAGCTTTCTATCAGCTCAACGAGCTTGCACATACCAGCCACACGGACCTGGGGCACCTGCGAGCAGCTCTGCAGGACAATCCTCAAGTCGTCTCGCTCTGCCTGTGCATAGATCATGTTGAACCACTTGCGGACTGGGGAGGTTTGCTTTCCGCCCTCGCTTCTCAAAAATGGTCTTTTGTGGCCGTTGCTTGGGGCAGTGCCTGTGAGACAATCTCTCTTACCACACTGCTGTCCACTTCCTACAGCACTTTGCAAAGTCTCCAGCTTGTCAATGCGGAGCAAGAGATCAACGATCTCGACCAGGTCTTCCGGCAGTCGGTGAATCTGCAGAGGGTATCTCTAAGTGGAATATTTGGAACATCTCCGCAAAGATTTGCAGCACTCCTGGCAGATGCGGGCACATGTCCTCAAGTGAAGGAGCTTGAAATTGATGAGCTCTGGTATGCCGGGGGGGTACGCGTTCGCAGACTGCCTGACAACCAGTGCCTCACACAAATACCTAGCACGTTCCCAAATCTACGGGCGTTATCCTTGACAGCTTTGGCGAGGCGAGAGTTCCGCCAGAAGTATATGCAGCGCTAGCTGGTAGCTTACCCCGCCTGGAGTCGTTGAGCATAACCGGAACTCAGCTTTCCACCTTGGAAGATGCTGTTCTCTTCAGCATCTCAAGATGTTGTCCACTGCTCCGTGAGTTAGCGCTTGGGTCGCCCCTTGTCAATATGCGATCAAGAAGGTATGAGTTGCCCACCCATATAACTGCATTGGGTTTAGTGGCCATTCTTGATCGGTGCCCCTGGATCACCTCTTTGAAACTTCCGCGCCTTCCAGAAGTCAGAAGGGAGGCATGGTCAACACTCTTACAGAAGATGAAGAATATCCAAGTTCTCGAGTGCCCCTGGGATTGCAAGGTCATTCCAGCATTCAATGTCCTCAAGAAGCTCAAACGCTTGACACTCTTTGATTGGGGGGACCAATGCATTGAACAAGTTGACCTGGAACAAGTAGCACAAATTCTCGGACGACTACCTAATCTTTCAATACTTCGGATATGCTCTCCAAACCTGGATACGGCGGTGGTTGAGATAATGAGACCTCATATGGCTGGCATTGCCTTTGAGACGTATCTTAGGGAGGGAGATGAGTTGAGGCTAACGTATCATTGACTTCATATAGGCTTTCATATGTTTGATCTTGATTAGTCAGAACTCAAAAGTCCATCGCCTTTTACAAGTAGTTGAGCATGCTAAACCGACTTTCGTGCTGAGTTGCTGCGCCTTGATGAGGTAGCATGTAAAGAGACAGTGTCCTTTTAGACAGCTGATTCGGGGCTTTTTCCATTGGGAGTCATCTCTCAGGAAGTTGGGATAAATGTCTTTTTTGATGAACCTTAAACTCTGAAATCAACTTATCAAGCTTGCACCATGGGCGCGGCTACTAGCGCCTAAGCGTTTATGAAATCAAGTGACATTCTTCCTCCGCATTTGCAAACTCGTCGGAAACATGATGTTGAATGCATCCCATGCTCGAAATGCAGCTTTCTGCTTGCTTAATGGATTGTGTCCCACATTGGCGGCAGCCGCCTACAAAACAGCTGCAACAAAATAGAGTGGCATATGTATTCTAGCTTTAGTGCGCATGTGGCATATATGGGGCGCATATCAAAGATCATCTATATAGCTTGATGTGCCAGTGCAGAATGATTTGTCCCGTCCTAGCTCTGTACGCGGGTCACTTCAATACACAACTCTCAAATCATCGGTCACTCAGTTCATGATGAGACGGACGCGGTTGCGACGGCCGCATCTCGCATAGCCGGAGCTGCAGCCGCCTGGCATATCACATGCAGGCCCACACGCTCTTGATTCTTCATTCCAACTAGTACTGTTTATCATCGACCGTCATACAATTGTTTCCTATATGTCTGGTCAATCGACTGTCGTACAATTGTTTCCTATATGTCCGGTCACAGTGCATTCAATGGGGCCGACTCCTTGACTCTTGAGTCAGCCCTTTAAACATTTGCTGCTCCAGTGTAGCCTTAAGTTCACATGAGTCCATTTACATATAATATCGATCTTGGTATAGGTAGCATATAGCCATGGAAGAATAAGCTCAAGGAACAGGCCCACAAGATGTGTATGGCGGCCATGATCGAAGCCTATGGCCCAACTGGCTATGGCGTAACTGAAAAGAGACCAAATATGTCTTATCTCTGCGCAAGGGGCCAACTAGGCTAGCTATATAACAATTATAGGATAACATGATGCATCTTGGCCCGTGCCAGGAGCGTGGGAATGTCAATGCATGTTGGTCGGATCGACGTTTCGAGCAGGAATCAAGAATTGCAACAACTTATACCCAGTGGAAAACTTGAGACTCAAGCAATCCCAACCGTACTATAATGATAAAAACTACATTGAGGCAGGCTCGTATTCGATTGATTGATCCAACTGTCACCAGGTTCAGACCAATTACTTTACGACCTTATGTGTCAGTGCGATGCATATGGAGCACACATGCAATTCCTTACCATGCATTGTACGGATCTGGCCACTCGCTTGCAATGCAAACCACATACCCAGCGATTCTATCATTGTGAGCATACAGGATTGACGAGTTGCATGCCTAGACAGCCTCGCAGGGAGCAGGAATCTTGTCATTCATATCCCGGATCTCAGGTGCTTGCACTACATGTATACAAATGTCTCACAGCATGGGCGTGCCTCATTTGCAGTTCATACTGTGTCACACAGCTTTGGCGATGATAACTTTCTGTAAGTATCTGGTCCTCCTTGCTGTTGTCAAGTGCTTGCGACCCTTGAAAGGCTGCTCAAAGCCGTCTACCTCTAGCTTGCAGCCAGACGACCTGCTTTCAAGTCCGCGCCTTGTGCTCAGAAGATTTCTTACCGAGAGGTGGATGATCAACCCAATGCTGCCTTGATCCAAGATTACTTGGCCGCGGTTGAAGGCTCGTATGAGATATCGAGGCGTTCAGCAAAATCCTTTGCCATCAGCGGGAGACCGTCCTTCAGCAGAACCTGGAAAACGGAATGAGCTCGTACGTGAGTGGCGCGATGAACAGAAGTGAATGACATGCCATTGGATGGAAAAGTGGTGACGAAGTAGGCAACTATCTGGCCGCGTAAAACAAAAACCTGTGAGACTGGGGAGAATGGTGCTTATCAATCTGAAAATTCACGGCCCATGGCAACTCCCCTTCTTTGTGCGAAGTACGAAGTGCTGCGCAGTACGACCCAGTCATCCGACTCATTCAGCCTTGAGATACTCATCTCTCGGTCCAGCGTATCCTGGGCGTGTCAATCCTGTCTTTGCATATTTTATTGACGCGCGGATCCAAAAATGTCAGACTGTTCGAAAAGATACCTCTGGCCTTTTGACAAAGAACTCCTTGACCTCGCCAATGTCAAACTTCGAGGGGGAAAAAGAATCGAACCCAGAAATTTTATAAGCCATTGATACAAGAATTGACCTTGGTTTCTGCGAGCACTCGCGACTACCAACAGCCGGCAGACCAACCGTTCTTCAAAAGCAGTGGGACATAAATCCAGAGGTACTAATTTTCACGAGGGTCAGCAGATGTAAGTTGGAAGACCACATTCTCCGCCCCGCAAGTTTGTCAGCTGATTGCAATAAAGACCGTTCCTCAATCCAGTACAAAAATCGACCCTCATCCACGCGGATTGGCTGGTTGTAGCGCCCAACTCGACTTCCCTGGAGGCGTATATCAAATGAGTGTCCTTCATTTTCTCCGGAAGAGGCCCTTTCTTCTTCCTTGATTGGGCAGGCGCCCTAAAGAATGATCTTTGCTATTTCCAACAAAGTAAACCCCCATAATGAACTCTGCTATTTCCTACAAAGTGACCCCCAAAACACACACCTTGGGCTCCCAGCCGAGCAGGTTCTTGGCCTTGGTGATGTCGGGCTTGCGCTGCTTGGGGTCGTCGGGCGTGTTGGGCACGGTCTTGAAGGACGCGCTCGGGCTGACCACCTGCTTCACGGTCTCGGCCAGCTCCAGCATGGTGAACTCGTTGGGGTTGCCGATGTTGATCGGGCCCGTGTTCTCGCCCTCCATCAGCCGGATGAGGCCGTCCACCTATCATACGAGGGGACGGCGTATGTCCGAGAGCAAGTACGCATTAGCACAGTAAATAGTGTCCGTCTTTCAAGGTGCCGATGTGGACCGGGCCTGTGTTCTCGCCCTCCACCAAACGAATAAGATTGTCCACGTATGACTCGATCAATGGAACCTCTCGAATTTCGAAGTTGGTAATTGCTGCGGCTTTGGTTGACGTGCCGTGTGGAAGCCGCCTAAACCCTGAATACATGGTGACACGTATCAAAGAAGCAGACCACTCGGGTTTGGTTCCGATCCAAGCAAATGGGAGAGCGACGGGTGGGAAGGACAAAGCTCACCAGATCAGAGACGTAGCAGAAGCTGCGAGTCTGTGTTCCGGGAAGCTGCACCGTCATCTCTTCGCCCCTGCAAAGAAACATTGAGACGCTTACTTCCACATATCTGGACAGATACACGTACACGTTTTCCGTTCAATGTGTTATGCAGAAAGGATCAAATTGAAGGGTTCAAAACGAAAAGCACGGCGGGCAGGATCCATGTTATCACATACAAATATCGAGCATCGCTATTGGTGCAACTCGCGCCAGCTCCGACTCGCTCAAGCACCGGCGAGCCGCAAACATTACAGTTCAGTGGAGTAACTTCACACGAAGCCCATGACTCTACTCAGGAACTCCGCTCCACGGCGCCACACCTAGACCCCTGCTCGACTAAGTCCTTGACAATTCAAGAAGCTGCAAAACCTAGACTACTAGAACCCAGCAATCCCAGACTCAAAGCCCTGCCCCCACCTGAGCGCCTGCGCAACGAAGTTGCTGACGACACGCCCGTCGTCGATGTTCATGCGCGGGCCGTACGTGTTGAAGATGCGCGCGATGCGGATCTCGACGCCGTGCTGGCGGTGGTAGTCGAACATGAGCGTCTCCGCCACGCGCTTCCCCTCGTCGTAGCAGCTCCGCACGCCGATCGGGTTGACGTTGCCCCAGTACTCCTCCGTCTGGGGGTGCACCAGGGGGTCGCCGTAAACCTCAGACGTGGACGTCAATAGGATCCTGGTGGAAAGGGGTCAAAGGCATAGGTACTCCATTTAAGAACGAGGTTTAGGGCAGGCCTGGAGATTAAAGCCCAGACAAGGTGGGGAGGAAGATTGGAGAAAGTACGCCGATTCTGAGAACAAGACGCAAGGTATGCTAAGGCCTTCGATAATGACTGTTCGACAACTGAACGGAAAGGAGGTAGGCCTAGAAAGCAGAAGTGGGTTTGGGTGCGTAGGCAAAGCACAATCGTTCAAAGTTATGTCCTCTTGTGGCCAGAGCACAAGCGCATTGCCCGTGCTGCAAGTGCGACCAGGAGGTAGATACTTGAAAGAGTGGACCCAGCAGAATCTACTTCATGCATCCCTGTAGCCCCGAATCGTTGTTGCCCGCACGAATCATGCAATATCAGGCTTGAAACAGGACTGCAAGATTGAAGCTGTCAATGAGGATAGCTTCTGCAAGCCCACACAGCTCGACTGGTCCTTATATAAGAACGGCAAGCTAAGCTGACAAAATTTTCATTGCTGGAAAGTGGCTCACCTGGCTCCAACTCGCTTGGCCAGACCCAGCATGTTCAGTGTGCCCATCACGTTGGTCTTGATGGTCTGCAGAAGAAAGAGCAGATTGAAGTATGAGGACAAAGTGCTTACGAGGCAGAACGTCCAAATGATATGCTGCCCTATAGTTGCGGACTTGCATATAGAACATGCGGATGCGGAAAGCCCAAGACCTGAACTATGACGTCTCCAGCATAGACGAATTACAGCGTCCCCTTCTCAATCAACAAGCACAACCATCTGAACGTCCTGCGGTTCAGGTTGCACACTTAAGGACTAGCTTAGCCGGATGAATCAAACCTTTTCTCTTGGTTGTGAGCAACTGGAGCCGGCCCTTAGAGTGTTTGCTTCTGAGCAGATTCATGTGTGCGTTTGAGATGCGTCCACTCAACAGTTAGTTGGGTCCCTGGTGATGTCCTTTGATAAGGATGCACATCCAGAACAATCAGCTGAACTCTAGTTACTGAAAGGAAAGAGAGCCTACCTTGACGGGGTTGTGCTTGTAGAAGATGGGGGAGGCAGGGCAGGCCAAGTGGTAGATCTGGTCAACCTCAACAAGAAGGGGGTCCACAACATCTGCACAAGATCAACGGAGATCTCGAGGCTTGAGCCGACTCTGGAGTGACACAGTTAGGACCGCTCACCTGGACGATGCTAAGAATCTTGTTCTTGTCTGTCCACTTAGGAGCATGACTTTAGTCTGCCCTAGTGGGCAGTCAGCCGGCAGATTGTGGACGTGCTTTTGAGTGATATTGCAGCCCGCAAGCGCAGAGCCTATAGCACCAGACTGCTCTCAATATGACGCTTTTCACAAGAACGTGCCTCTTTGCATTCCTCATCCTCGACATATGCCAGCTGACTGAGCTCTGGTTCGGTTGCTAATGCTTTCATTGATGCTTGTGTAGCTTGACGTCAGCATCTTGTACCTTGAAGTCAGCATCTTGAACCGGTGGTAGGCACAATCTGTCAGCTAGTCACTACCATTACTTCCATCTGCTGAAATCAATAAGCGATTGGAAATGGCTGATTGGCTCAAGGATTAGCTGCTCGACAAGACACGGCTGCTCAATAGAGTTTGAGTGGAGCCGCAAAACCGCCACTACTTGCGGACTTGTTCGTTTCAAAGTCTTGCACGAATGGTTTCTTTGAACACACCCTTTTTCAGCTCCTTTTCAATTCAAGCAAAAGCTGGAAAAGCTCACAACGAGCTCTTGCAGGAGCTGTCAAGTCAATCTGTTGCACACTTACAGCTCTGATTGATTGACGAGAAGTGAATCAAAGATCAATCAGCGTAGGTATCTAGACATCCAAAGAAGGAGAGGGGTTTTGAAGGCAGCCTAAAGCTCTTCATCAAGGTGTTACCAGGTAGACAGAGGGAAGCCTTACCATGCCTGATGAGCTCAAAGTCGGGGTGGTTGAGCCACTGCTTCAGGTTGCTCTTGGTGCCAGTGAAATAGTTGTCAACCACAATCACCTGCGCCCCGTAAGACAATCTAGTCTTGATTCACACGCCTACTTAGAATAGACACTACGAGCTCGTCATTTTGTCAATCAGTGCAGCTCCTCAAGTCTGATGGAGCGCACTTATTCTAGATATCGTCAAACTGCCACTGTTATCAGTCGTGCCTTAGACATGGCAGGCACCAATCAAAGTTCGCCAACAGCAACCCTAGATATATTCTGATCTGCTGTATCCGTCTGCATAAACACACCCATGCTCTGCGACTAGCAGTGATTATGATGCAAGTCATTCTGGCTTGATTCGGCTAATGATTGCTTTTCAGAAACATATTGAGACAGCAGGAATGGAAGGTGCGCCCAACCAGATCTGGCCACATTTGGTGGCAGATTTTTACATTGAAACACTGCCATGTATTGGATTGCTGATATGAACACCAATAAGAGCCTAAACCCTAAAGAGAGTATAGCGCACGATAAATTGAGGCGCAGAGATTGATCAACTCACCGAGTGCCCAGCTTTCATCAACCGGTCCACCAGATGGGACCCCACAAACCCAGCTCCTCCAGTAACCAAAACCCGCAACTTGTTCTGCAACCACCAATGGACAGTTGTGAGACATCAGCTTACAGTGGCCTCAGTAGCTTGCAGAATGAGCTGAAAATGAAGCTCAGCTATGAAGCTCAAGCAGAGCAGTCACTCCAAAGAACGTCCATCTGAATGTTGGCGGCATACATCATTAGGAGCAATCATGAAGAGTCAGAAAGCCACTCTCTGACGTCTTCAGATCTATCATCCGCCAAGCTCACCTTCACCAACTTCGACGTTCGGAGGGGAGAGGGAGAGGGAGGAGGCTTTGCAGGAGACCCAGGCACTGATCCATTGCTGTCCGCCATGGCAACACCACTTTCTTTCAACCTCGAAGAAACACAAATCCGGGAAACTCACAAAAGGAGAGTAAAGCCAGGGAGCAGGAACGAGAAGGGCGACCTGGCTTTGTGAAAAGAATCGAGATCAGCTGAGTTCAGCTAACGGAGCTGAGCAATGAGCGCCAAGTTCCAATGAAATGGAGGAGCTGCCAGTGAGAATTGTTCCGATCAGCACCTGATCTCTCGCCTTTCGCGAAGTGTCTCGAGTCACTATCTAGTGCAGTTGCAAGAGCTAGCCCCGGATCGTTGCGCGACCAAGCCAAAATTGTCTCGCGCACATTGGATCAGCCCTGGCCCGAGGGACTCGGTCGATCGCGCGCTCCGCGGTATGAAAATTCAACAATCGCGCAATGTATTGTTCGCACGGGTGTTCTCTCGCGCGCGCAACATTGTTTGGAAAGTTTCGAATAGAACTTAACCGTTGATCCATGATGAATCTCCCTAATTCGCTGCACGGTGCGCTGAAGGCCGTCAGATGACGTGCTGCTCATCGAACGGCCACTCAACATATCCCGCTCTTCGGTGTTCCGCTTTGTTCCGTGCTTCCGCTCTTCCGGTGTTCCGATCACTGAAGTCTTTGTCAAGGGCCTGAGGCTTGAGCCGCGTTTTGGCACAGGGTGGTATGTTTTCGTTTATTTCTCTGAAGGGAAGACGTCTTTGCGGCAGAGGAATACTGTAGACCATCTTTTGATCGGGCCTTTCTGGAAAGCTCTGCATCTTTCATATAGACCTGCCCTTCGCAGTGAAAAGGTCCCATAACTCTCCGGTGCAATGGCGGCTGCCAACGCCGTCAGAAACTTTCCTGGCTCTCAGTTGCAGCATTGCAGAAATGATACACAATCCCTAACGAGGCGACTGCAATGTCCGCAGCCTACTAGTTGGTTTTTGCCTCCTGTTTTCAAAGCTGGCTCACCTCGACGCCCCTTCTTTGCAAGAGCCGCAGTTGGCAGCAGGGGTTCAGGGGCCAGCCCAGTGTCGCTTGGTAATGGTGGCGATGAAATGTGGAGAAGGTTGCAGAGGGACCAGATTGAGAGGAGCGCCGAGCGCATGCCTAAAGAAGTGTTCGTACTTGCTGACTCGAGTGATGATAGAGATGACGAGCTTGAAGATGAGACGCTGGAGGAGATGGACGATGAGGAGGCACTGTTTGAGCACGAGAGCACGTCAGATGAGGTCGGCGATGAGGTCGCAAGCGAGAGCGCGGATGGCCAGGCGGAAGGGGCATCAACAACAGCGGAATCTGAAGGTGTGGAGGGAGAGGTTGTAGAAAGTGCAGAAGTTGCGGAGGCAGAGGACGTGATGGATGAAGAAGAAGAAGAGGAGGGGGAGGAGGTGGAACTATCGTGGGCCCAGGAAAAGTACATGGATCTGAAGCAATCTGTGGGAGTGGTGGTCGATAGGGTACCGGGCCCGAGGGTGGCCTCCAGTAATGTGCCCTGGCTGATAGCAGTGCCGCTGTCGTACCTGGCAATCACGCTGCTCATCTCAGTTGCAAAGGTCATCAAGAAAAACAACACGCCCCGGGCGCACAGGAAGCGGCAGGTGAGTGCATTACCTCCACATCAAATGCAATTTTAGATGGGGGAAGGAACTAAATGATGTCAGGGAGCCTCCGAATGAAGAATTCTGGCTGCTAAGGTGGGGTGCTTTTCACAACACGTTGTGCATGTCTGGTTTGCACAATTTGTCACAGAGAAACGCATCAGTGTGCACGTGAGTAGGGGATGAAAATTTGGGACGCAATGCCATCTTATTAGGAAGTTGCTGCGAAGGGGCACTTCCTCCTCATTTTGGCCAATCTGCATCTCACTGTCAGTTGTTGTGCGCGGGCAACTTTTTTGGATCCGAGGTTTGAGTATACTACACGTATTTCCCAGACAAACTTTACTTGCAATGTGAAAACCCTCCTTTGGATAGTGTTCCAAACTTATATCTGCATATCTTGATCGATATGGTTCCAGAAAGACTGCTGTATCCCCACGGTTCAAGAGTGAACTAAATGGTGGCTCTTTTTCAAGGTGAACAAAGACAGTGGTTAATAGGAGAGATTCTCCCATTGTGATCCTTTTCAAGGAATGGATTGGGGGGACCAGTACCTCTTCAAAAAGCCCCAAAAACGTCTGTGAGCCTGGCAGGCCAGTGTCAGAAGCTTTGCGAACAATCGAGTCATGTCATTGCTATGCTGCATAGTGAAAGACAGTCAGGGATTGCGAAGTTGCATTCGAGATCTAGGTGCAATCAGTAGGGTCAAGCACTCAACTTTTACCAGCTTCATTGCCGTGCTTCCTGATACTCCATTCCTCTGTCACTTTCCCACTTCTCCCCTTATTTTCCTCATGAGATGTCTGACATGATCTCTCAAGTTTTTTTGCAATCTGTGAGGCAGGCAGGGCTGTGCTTGACAATCAGTCCCAGCATATCATTATTCTATACGAGCAAGACTTGGCCCTTTTGCAATCGATGCATACGTGCTCACTGATCTTCACGCTTTACCACATCCCTCTCTCGTCTATTGTCCGCAACTCGGACAGCTGGTTAAGTATTAACCTTCTTCTTTGGTAACGCAAGCAAATATGTCAGGTATGATATGTGCTCCATAACCAGCGGACTTCCAGTGGTCTGCCATCTGTCTAAAGTTGACCCTCAACCTAACCTGTTTTCCACAGGTAAACCGCAATTTTGAGTTGGTGGAGCTCATCTCAAAGTACCTGGAGGAGGATAAGAGTCAGCTGGACCCCAAGGGCTTCAGAGCGCTCCAAAGCAACGTAAGCCGCCAACCAACCCGCAAGACTGGCTACTGAAGCTCGCGTGTCAATCTTGTATTTTGCCGGTCATAAGGTTCTGACCAGAGTGGATGATGCTAAGAAGCATGTTGACCGAAGCCCTTTCAGTCCCTTTCCAGGCTATCTGATAAGATGCAGATACGACCGTAAGTCGTGATTGCAAGGAAAGAGATTGTTCATTGCTGTACGATCGGATTCCGAGGTCTTATACCCTGCGCAAGTATACTTGTGGTCAAGTCGAAGGCACTTTCAAGCTAAGCAAACTTATTGAAGAGAAGATTCAACCCGACTTTCCTGGCCCGCAGTATCAAGTCCATACCGCGTAAGACTCCGCAGAACAAACATCTGGTACGCCCGCAGCGTGAAGCCAATCCGGTTCTGGCTTTATGCCTTACCAGAAGCTATCTGGACGTTTGTAAAGTATTTTAAGGTTCAGATCTTCGCCGCCATAAGTACACCCGGACACATACAAAATTGCATTTCAAAGGCGTATTTATGTCGTCCGCTCGCTAGTCAGATGCTTGGGAACGAAACAGTCTGTCATTCTTTGCAGTTCTGAAATCCTTCGCAAGGTTATTCCTAGACGCGCTCAATGAGAAACCAGTTTTCACCTGGCTCTATGCCTTCTGGAATCTAAGCCGGACGCTCGTGAACAAAGTCATCGACACGTTTCTTGCAGATTGAGGTTTCGCCACCCAAGATCCTGCGCAAGTACATCCGATATGGACACAACAAAAAATCGATGGGACCTGGCTGTATGCCTGCAGACTCGCGTAGTCAAGATCGTCCTCCATTTTTTCTCAACTGAGTTTCTTGCCGCTCGAGATTACTGCGCAAGTGCATCCGACTCGGGCTCAACGAGAAGCTTCCGGACCTGTCTTATGCCGATGGGACGTGTGGGAATCGTGAAAGCTGGATAATTTTTCTGCAGTTCAAGTTCTTGCCGCAGGAGATCTTGCGCAAGTACATTCGGTACGCGATCAACAAAAGGCGATCCACCTGTCTCCCGGCCTTTCAAAGGCCATTCGGACTGTTCATCTGCAAAACTACATGTCATTCTCTGCACTTCAGGTTCTCGCCGCACGAGATCCTGCGCAAGTACATCCGGTACGCGCTCAACGAAGTCCCGGTTCGGACCTGGTTTTGAGCCCCTCAGATGCAATACTGACGCTTGTAAATGACGTCATCCGTCACGATGACGTCACTCTCTGCAGTTCAAGTTCTCGCCGCACGAGATCCTGCGCAAGTACATCCGGTATGCGCTCAACGAGAAGCCGTTCGACCCGGAGATGGTGTCCAACCTGCTGCTGCTGCGGAAGTCGTCCGGGCTGTCCGACAAGGACATGATTGGCGTGCTCAACGACATCGCATCCAAGGTCGTCAGGGCCAAAGGTGAGAACTGATTCGCTGCCTGTCCCTTCCTTTTATCTCAGTCTTGTTTTTCACTCAATCCTTTTGTCCGAAGTTCCGAACGTGGGTCGTCGGCTGGTGTTTGGGCTCATTAGAGCTACTTAGGTTCCTTCAAGAGATTTCAAAGATGAGTTGCGCACTATGAAGGACAGATTGAAGCGGATGGAAAGAATGGCCCGGCGCTGTCCTCAAGCCCTGGCCAGTGCAGTATCAGTGACGGTTAGCGTCAGTGACAGTGAGTATTTTAGACAAGCGGATGGCTAGCAGGACCTCAATTCTTTATGCTCTCTTTATGGGGTCCATTCTTTTCCTGTCAGATCTAAGCCTGTGGGATCTAGCAGAGAGCCGCCTCTAAAAAGAGTTTTCGATGGCCGCCCCTCTATTTGCCTGCTTCGTGAATTGTCTGCTAACATCTGAGGTTCGGCTAAGTCACCCGCGCCGAAAAGGGAGTTTGTCGAATAGGGATCGAACCAGTCCGGAGAAGTGTTGACGACCTTGACCTGCTCTGGTAATGTTCGGGAGCGAGGCCTTCCTGTCTTCGTCATCCCTGTCATGAAGCTGGAAACTTACTCTGAAACAACAACCTATTCTGCAAGACTGCGACCGATTCCAGTCTTCTGCCCAGCTCGTTGTTCGACAAAACGGAAAGGTCGACGAGTATCGTTTCAGACACGCGTACGAGCCGAGCAGCTTTTGTGTGCAGGTCCGGTGATGATGGACACCCGGGGCATGACGGAGAAGGGCATCAAGAAGAAGGCCGCGGTGCAGGCCATCTTCACCAAGCTGCTATATCTCTCGGAGGTGAGGCGATCTGGGCCCCTAAGAATTTTCTCAGCGCTAGTTTGGAGGTTGTCATGTTGACATGTAAAGAATTTGAGCCTCCAGCGCCTTCTGATGGGGTAGGTGGGAAGAGGGGGTGTTTGACATGCGGACTGAGGCTTATCTTGACTGTCTTTTCGGGTCTGGCTGGCATCTTTGGAGATATCAATTCGCTCTTACTGCGGTTTCCTCCCGAGACTGGCATCTCTGGAGAGTTCGTCCAAGTTTGCGGGTCGGCCAACGTGATGGCTTCGATACCCGACTCGTACCGTATCCCGAGCGGTCTTCCTACCGTCCTTCGGAAATGATCAGATGCTGATCGCGCACTTTTTTTCGCAGCTTTCTGACGAGATCCTCTCGCCACAAGCGCGCCATGTTATGGAGCACTGTCCTCACCTCAGAGCCGTGGGGCGCTCAACTGACGTCATCCTATCCTTGTCCCCAGCTTGAAGATACCGTCGAGGCCCAGTGGGCGCCCGGCTTGCCCCTCCCGCCGGCAACAAAAACATGCTGACGTCACGTTTTCGTTCCTCGCAGCTGGACGATCTTGTGTCGCTCGAAGCGCGTACTGTCCCGAGCAATCGCTTTCCGCCCTCTGACGGTGGTCTTAGGCCCCTCCGACGTCAGTTCGTTTTTTGCCCTTCGCTCGACAGATCGCCGTTGCCCAAGCTCTGCAAAAGCCCCCCTTGGTAATATGTGGCTGATGCCCCGCGTTTGGCACCTACAGCTGGACGAGGTCCGCGAAGCGCACGATTTTGCCGAGCGGATGTGCCGCCCCCAGGTGTCAGGCCCCTCCATCAAATGCTGCTAGCGTATATTCTCCCCTCAGCGGCAGTGGCAAGATGCTGACGTCACGTTTTTCGTCTTCTGCAGCTGGACGAGTTCCTGTCGCCCGAGGCCCGCAAGGTTCCCGAGCGGATGCCCCCCCCCAGAACAGCGGCGCCGCCCCCCCCTGCTAAGGACGAGCCGCTCGTGTTCCGGCCAGAGATGCTGAAGCAGCAGGCGACGGGGCCGACGCAGGCGGAGATTGATGCGGAGCAGAATCAGTACCTGCGAGTCAAAGAGATCTTTGGATTGACAGAGTGAGCGTCTCTTTCTTCTGGAAATCCGCATTCTGTGGAAAGAGAGCGCGTGTAAAAAGGATGTGTTGTGTCGTCCCCTCCTAGAATCCCTGCCGACAAAAAGCGGATCAGTCCCGGAGCATTGGACCTAGCGAGTGAGCCTCCTTTTGTTCTAGTGCTCTGCACCTTGTAGAACGGGGTATTTTTGGCTCCATATGTTCTTGATTTCCTGTCCGTGCAACGCGCGACACGATGCAGAACCCGTTATTTCCAGCTTAACGAGATTTGTGGATCCACGGAGTGAGCATGTTCTGGTTGGCTCCGCAGCTTGTACCGTTTTGTACCGAGTCGAAGCCTTTTACTTGCCGCGAGACTCCATACGAGGGTATTTGTTTGGGATTTGAGACATCTGTGCTCTAATTTGCTGAATCCTTCTTTTGCAGCGAGGATGCGGACAGAATCAGAATCGACACTTTGTCCGAGTCGGATGTCGTCCGACTCGAGGCACTGCTCGGGCGGAGCCCTTCTGGCGCTGGTGCCGCAGAAACGTCGTCAGACGAGGAAGACGCTGAAGAAGGGGAGAGAGAAGAGAGGGATGAGGATTCCTAGGGCTCATGGTATTCTGCAGTTTTGAATTGTTCTCAACAGTCTATTTTCAATAAGCGTGTGCAAGCGAATCGTACTATAGCACGGTCTGTACTAATAAGAACTTGATGGTGCCTCGAAGGTGGCGGCAGCTATCTGAGTGTCGTTTGGCATTTGGACAAATGTTTGCCCGTGGTCACTTAACCGGCGCGCTGCACAATCAACCTGATTTCAAGCAAGAGCTTGCGAGTTCGACTCGATGGGCACGCACACCTCAAAGAGTTGGAGTTGGAGGAGCGGCCGTATGACCGCCGCTTAAGGTATGTCAAGCTTATTATGATTCGCACTGACGACTTTGTGCATGATTGTTTGAAACATTACTGTGTCCGATAATCGATCGAACAAAATGTCCATGTCCTCGTGTGCATGCCCGCAGCTACATTGGATTGTTGCAGATTGCGTCGGATTCGAGTCGTCGATGGCAGGCTACATGTGCAATGATTCGTATGCAACGCCAACTTTATGATAATGACGATGTTTGACGTCGCGTGCAATCAGTGCATAATTTGCTACTTTCATTGAATGATCAAGTGGTGCAGTTGATCAATCTATTTGCAAACAGGCTGCAGATCATGTACGTAACAGAGTGCAATATGTATATGCATCGATCATCCTCTGAAGTGGCTGCGCTAGCGCGCGGGCCCATGTCATTTACGCGTCTGGTCATGTCAATGCTGTCGTGCCGCTAGGCGTCGCTGCCATGCAGCCTCGTACGACCGTAGCAATGCAAGCAAAACGGATTCTCTAAAGAACGCAACGACTGTATGTCACTAAGAG